GAGCAGGGAGCCCGATGCGGGACTCGATCCCGGGACTCCAGGATCATGACCTGAGCCGAAGGCAGTCGCTTAACCAACTGAGCCACCCAGGCGCCCTCCATACAAGTCTTATAAGGTGATTCCAACTGCTGAAAAACCTTCAATGTACATTTATTGCCTATATTAACATACTAAAAATTCTCTGGTAGGCAGAGAAGGTTTCCCATACTCTAACCAACCCTACTGTCCCAGTCTCCTCATCACCATGTCCTCCTATATACCCTAGCAACAATGCTCTGAGAAATGTTTGCTAAACATGGTGCATATTTGAATGTTGCTCTACCTTTGTTCACCTTGCTCTTGTTGCCTAGCATCTGCTTCCTTACATATTTTCCTAGTAAATGCCAATTCATTATTCCAGACCTAGCTCACATGTCATCTCTGCTTTGATGCCTTCTCTAACCTTCCCTAACAGAACTACTCCCTTATCTGTGTTCCCATTATACTTCACATAGACAATCACTATCTCTCTTATGATACAATATTAGTTAGTTATGTATTCATCTCCCTTGGAAATCTGAATGGAACCTCGACACTATATCTTTATATACCAATGGCTAGCAAGCAATTAGAGTTTAATAAAGAAATATATTATTTAAAAATAGATTAGAAACAATACTGATGTTTAAGAAATCTTAAGGAAAATACTATGCACAGTGATTAAACCATACTACATCCTCTGATCACCTCCATACTCACGACCAAATAACAAATTATGACACTGCTATCATTTTTTAAGCCCCTTCCGATATAAAAGGATTCACTGTTTTATAAAGTATTTTCCTTCTATCAGGTATATCTGTGCAACACTGCTATTTAGTTATAATCAGCCAGTTTCACAAAACAGTCATCAAGATTTCTTTAAAAATAAATAAAACAAAGGTACAAAAGTACTTTTCACTTTAAAGGTGTACATCCCCACCACAATCTTTCAAGGAGAGTTACTAATTTCAAAATAATCTAACCTTTTGGCAGTGATAGAGCAGAACCACCTGATATTATCAAGAACACTGAAAGATGACTTTTAGGTAGAGAGTAGAATTGTGAGAAATAGGTGGAATCTATGGAAGATGGGGGAAAACTCTGAAGAACTGGGAGGAAAAAAGGAAGAAAGGAGAATATGGAGAGGATTCACAAGAGATAAGAAAAAAAAACAACAGGGGGCGCCTGGGTGGCTCAGTCGTTAAGTGTCTGCCTTCGGCTCAGGTCATGATCCCAGGGTCCTGGGATCGAGCCCCGCATCGGGCTCCCTGCTCGCCGGGAAGCCTGCTTCTCCCTCTCCCATTCCCCCTGCTTGTATTCCCTCTTTCGCTGTGTCTCTCTCTGTCAAATAAAAAAAAAAAATCTTAAAAAAAAAAAAAAAAAAGAGAGAGAAAAAAAAAACAACGGAAGTCTGGTAAGAATAAAAAAAAGATATTTATAAACCAAAAAAAATTTTTAATTTAAGATTTTATTTTTAAGTAATCTCTATGCCAAATGTGGGGCTTGAACTCACAACCCCAAGATCTAGCATTGTATGCTCCACTGACTGAGCCAGCCAGGTACCCCAACAAACCAAAATTATTGGCTTAGTATGAGGAAAAAATATTAAAACCCGAAGCACATTAAACTTCTAAATCTAATTCTTAGTTTACAGAAATACAGGAGACCACAGAACATGTTAGACAATACCACAATGATGCAATTAGCAAAATCCTACATGTGGGAAACTCTACAGGACAAATAACTCAGTTTCTTCAACAAGGGAAAAAAGTAGGGAGGGACTAAAAGATTTATTAAGACACATATCACCCAAATGCTATGTGTGGGCCTTGCTTGGATTCTGATTTCAAAATCTTTAATTCTTTTTTTTTAAAGATTTTATTTATTTGACAGAGACACAGTGAGAGAGGGAACACAAGCAGGGGGAGAGGGAGAGGGAGAAGCAGGCTTCCTGCGGAGCAGGGAGCCGGACGTGAGGCTTGATGCCAGGACCCCGGGATCACGACCTGAGCCAAAGGCAGATGCTTAACGAGTGAGCCACCCAGGCGCCCCAAAAATCTTTAATTCTTTAACAGAGAAAGAGAGAGGCAGGGAACAGAAGTTGGAGGGAGAGTGAGGGAAGAGAGAGAAACACACACAAAGACAAATGGGGATAGCTGAACAATGACTGGATATGTGATAGTATAATGGGATTATTGTCTCTTTTAGCAGAAGTAATAATATATGGTTATATATTTTTTAAAAAAACTAAATTTTTAAAAAGACTAAATTTTTAAAAAGACTAAATCCTTAAAAAAAAGACTAAATATTTTAGAGATACAGATGAAAATATTTGTAAATGAAATAAAAGACATCTGGGACATGCTTCATAATAATCTAGAGGGATGGGGATGGAAATGAGTTAATCACTATTGAAGTTGTATGGTGGTTACAAGAGGATTCATTATACTATTTTTCTACTTTTGTAATGTCTCCAATTCACCATAATAAAAAGCATAAAACAAAAAGAAGAAAAAATATTACCTGCCTTGGTTGTTTGACTCATTTTAAGTCTTCTTGGATCCACTCAAGTTTAATGGTCTTCTCTCAAACTAATCACCCTTCAACTAAACATTTACCAAGTAATTTTTTTTTATTCTGGAACCCTAAGGTGGTGTCTATTAAAGCTTAAACTAATGAAGTCTTCTTTCCTTACCTTGTCAGACAATTCATTTTCTACATCTTTCTTGATTCTCCTCAGCATAAATGGCTTCAAGATCATGTGTAATCGAGAGAGTTGATCTGAAATGCCAGGAGGCCCCCCCAACAAATAATATATTATACTGACTTAACACAAACAAAAGAAATATCATGATCATCTCTCACTAAACTGTTCTTTCACCTTTTGGCTTAGTGAACCTCTGAAAGAAGACTAAAACTTAATCTTTTTGTTAAGTAGGAAACCAAGGAGTCTGAATTTTCATAGCACCTGCCTATAGTCTATAGGGCAAATGCATTTTTCTATCATTTACTCAGACCAACAAGGACCCCTTTATTATTATTAGAATTCACTGTTAGAGTGTTCTAAGATCATTTTATCAATAACAGAGTTCTCATATAGGTGAATGAAGCTATCTGGGCCTCCCAGTGTTCCTCCAAAATCATATTTCTAAGTATGTCAGCAAATTAACAAATTGTAATATAAGAAATTACTTTAGGACTTTTCTAATAGTTGGTAGATGTCAGTTCATGTCAATGTAATAAACACCTCGCAACTCTTATATTATTCAACAAGGTCAAAAGTATTGATAAATAAGTTTTAAAATATTCACAGTAGAAACAAATCCTAATATAGGAAGAAAATAACAAAAATAACCTCTCATATTTGTTTTTATCACAGGATAAAAACTTTACCTCATTCCATAAGGAATATAATTCTGATAGGAATTTTTCAGAATCTACATGGAAAATGAGGATTCTATAAGCCAAAATGTGGTACTTTTTGAACTCTGCCTGTTCCACCTTGATTAAATAGGCAACAGTACAGCAGTATCACCTGTATGAATCCTTCTGGCTCTTTTAAACATGAACAAAGCATATAATTACTTTATAAGAGAAAA